ATTTTCAAGCTCTTTTTTTGTTGGTGATATATTGTGAATACATAATTTAAAAATACATAGTGAGTGATAGCTCTGATATAGAGATAGAGATCAAAGTTTAATAGCATGTGTTATTTTTTAAGGCAAGATTCATCAGATATTGCTTTGCAGCTCATTATGGTTTGTATTTATCATATTTCCTTGTAAGAATATCAGTGCTCCCCATAATATACATCCACATGAAAATAGAATATTTGCACAGTTGCCATCCACAACGGAGCAAATCTTTATATTTGCCATTACAAGTTACATGGTCTCTAACATCCTCCTTCACTCTACAGCATTGGCACTGTGTCACCACGTCGTGAGAGTTCATTGGAGAAGAACGGATACCTGACAAAACTCTGGTGGTTAAACTCAAACCTGGAAAAAACGATACTTTGTTCTGAAGGATGGAACCTTAACTTACTGGAAGAGTCAGGTCTGTACACATGCTTTTGAGAGAATTATATGAAATTATAATGTCTTGCTTTTTTTTGGTGACTGCTGGTTTCCTGGAAAAGTCAAAGTCAAAGTCGAAACATTTCATTCCATTAATGGTTAATCTTTTATGATGGAGAAGGAGCAGAGAAGCAGAATTCCAGAATAATTAGATTAAGATCAGGATGTATTTATTGCTGCGAAGGAGTACAAGCAGTCAATTTCACCCTAGGAAGATGACAATGTATTTCCGAACCAGGGCGATTACAAGAAATAAGCAGGGACCTACTACCTCACAGCAGACATAATACAAGCTATTACTTACTCACATTACCGTCACAATTACTAAGATAATTTGCTTTATTGGATATGGATTTGGGTTTAAGTGTAATTTTTAGAGTAAATTTAAGATGCAGAAATTATCTAGACTTTATCATGTTGATATTTTGTAAGTTAGAGATTATGATATTGTTACGTCAGAATACTTTGATGTAGAAGTAACAAATTAACATTGATACATATCTGAGAGATGAATGAAGACAATGAAAATGCCATGCTCGACAAGCTGACAATGGTGTGTCCTTCTCGAATAAACAGCCTTCAACCAAATCTTCACAAGAGATGCTCTAAAGGCAATGTATGGCACATATTGTCGCGTTCTTATTTCTTCTTTTTGTCCTTTTTTTCCGAAATGTTCATCTATTTTAAAAGCATCTCACTTTTATTAATCTTCAGTTCTTATTAAGGAACTTGTATATGAGTAGTAAATAAATAATGATGGAACTCTTTTTGTTGTATAGAACCTTTCTTTTGAAGAATTTTGCTTTGTATAACCATTATGGCAGAATTATTTTTTCAATGATCTTAGAAATTGCTGCAACATATTTTCCATTAAGAAATAAAGATTTGATCAATTACTTGTTTACATTTCTCTTTTTCAGAATCCTATTGGTCAAATCAATATGAGGAGAATGCTCGTGGAGGAGGTTGAGAAGGTTTCTGATTCTGAAGGGGACGACCCTGCTGATGATGACACTCCCAAGGAGGATCTGACAATTGGTATATTCCCATCACACCAAGGTCCAACAAACATACATTATGCCAATAAAACAGGATATAAGTAAGGTTTTCTTCTGCATTGCATTTATCAAGAAGGATTGCCACTGAATAAAGTATTTGAAGCATTGAAGTATGGAAATGATTTCGATGCATCATTTTTCTCAATTTTTTTTTTCTCTTGAGATATGTGTGAAAGTATTTTGCAAAATGTTTTTCTATAGGACCCATATATGATATGAAGCATACTCTTCTATATACTGTCAGTAAATCAAATAGAGAGTAAGCTTATAATACTAACACAACATTTAATGGCAATTTTATCTTCCTTTCAGGATGGTTGGTTATACCACCTGACTGTAGTGTCTGGAGGAGGTCCCAATGCAGGAACGCAGTATGAGCAGTTAGTTCAGAAATTGATGGAACTTGATGGAGACCCAAGTAAGCACATGCTTTTATATTTTCCTGTATTATATTGCCAATTTTTTATATTATGGTACTGAGGTGTGATGCATATATAACTGAAATATACAGAACAGTCCTTTGACTTTTATTTGAGATAACTCTCTCTTTACTCCTTGTACCAGATTGCGTGCTGTGGAGGCACCCTCTGCTTCTACACAGCAAAGACCCCATCACCTCTCCCTTGACCTCTCTCCCGTCCTCCCAGTTGCAGGCTGAGGCTATCAAGCTATTCAAGGTTTGTTGTCCATGGAATAGGCGATACATCTTCCTCAGATAACTGATATGTTTACTGATTAAAGATATTTAGTTGAAGTTTATAGGTTCAGACAATATTGTTTTTAATGTTAATGGTGAATATTAGGATGTGTGTGCTTATTAATAAATCTACTAATGCCTCTGTTCTATGACAGTCTTGCCAGCTGTACACCTCTGTGCTCATGGATTCTTCGGGTATAGATTACCATGTGGTTCTGTGTCAGAATGCTCTCCAGCAGTGCCTCACATACCCTGAACTACAATCTGAACTCTTCTGTGGACTCATCAAGCAGACATCGAAGCACCTGCAAGCTAAGCCAGGGGTCCAGGTAACCAAGACACTGAACAAAATCAAGCACTCCCGAGTAAGTGTGTCTGCTTTATGTTGCAATGGTCTGGTGGATCAGCGATGTCACTTAGATAAACGTGTTAGATGTGTCAAGTGATATCAGCCATACTTTTAAGTTCTTTTAAGCTTTCTACCCTCTGTCTAGGGGGTAGAAGACAGCACTGATATTTTTATGCATAAAATGGCTGACAAAACTTGACTTGATAATTTTCAGATTTTTTTTAAAAGAGCATAATAAGAGTTAGATTTTTAGTAATACATAGAGTCTCTCTCATTGCCATGTAACCTTTGCTGTTTGATTTCGTTTACCCATCAGACTTTTGTCATCCCATATATGATATAGTCATTTCACTATTGATATAGTACTTTACTATTCAAGGTACTAAATATACTTCAAAGAAATGCTTATAAATAGATGAAAGAATCATGAAAATAAATGGGATGACAGCTGCTTATTAGATATTAGTCTTCAGAAAAAAATTATACCCTAAACTTAAGTTACATTTTGTTATGTTGGGGCTGTCCTGCTTTAGCCAAGGAATGCAACCTACCCATCACCTCACACATACACAGTGCTTGTTCTATCAATGTTACAGAAACATTACAGCATCAATACATTCACAGCTATGTATAGCCATGTGCCACAAGATATGCAACATGATGTTACTGCGGTCTTTTCACCCCCTTAGAAACCATAGCAAAGTGCAATATTGTTTACATTATCCATAAACTTGTGCATGGTTTAAAATATCACTTGCCTGATGTATGTCTCTTTTCTGTCTCCATCAGAGTCATATATTTAAATCCATTCCAGATTCTTATTTTGTTTCTCATGTTATGTTCTCTTTTTTCTCTTCTTTTCCTTCTTCTTCTTCCTTTATTTTTCATTAGTGCACCAGATTTGTGAGCCAGTGTGAGTTTTGTCTGTTAGTTGGGACGTATAAAGACTTGTCCTTTCTGCATCCTTCCCTTGTAAAATGTTTAAGAAGCTTTAATTGAAGAGAAATTGTCTTTCATAGCAGCAAATTGGCTCAACTGTAATCACAGGTATGACTGTTTCAACTGGGGAATTGTGTGGTTAAGCCTTCAGTGATGATGGAATGGAGAAAAGTTCACATCCTATAAGTGTCTAATGATTACTTCAGAGTTATGTGTAACGTCTCTGTAAATGTGATTGTATATAAGATTACGTAAGACTTAAGTGTATTATGTGAGGGACAATTATTAGAACTGAGGTACATGTTGTAGGTTTCATTTACTTGTAATACTTGTACGGTGTCCAATCGTCTCGTCTACGGATCAGTATATAAGCACAAGTATTGTCATGATAACATTCCTGTGACTGAAGTGTGAGTTATATTTATGCCATCAGTGTATTTATTATTGCCCAACCCCCCCAAGAAATAACATACTTCCATATATTTTAAAAGTAGAGACATTATTAGTAGTTTATGGATTCCAGTTTTAAGATCATATTGACAATAACATCAACAGAATGTTATGGTTAATGTTGTACCACATATTGTTCCTTTCTGATGTAAAAGGTTGTTAGTTAGTTAGCTTCTATACTTTTGATCTGTTATTTTGAACAATACCTTTAACAACTGTGTTAAAACCAGTGGAATGTTCAAGTTACCAAGTCTAGTTAATAGTTATTATTTCCATTTCTGTATTTGTGGAGTGACAGCTGAAAAACAGCCAAGATGTGTTTAGATAATTTAAGACTTGCTGACATTTTTTGTGATCATCATAAACTGAGTTTGTATTGAACATCTAGTGTTTCAGAATCACTCAAACACGTAAATGAATGAAATCAACACTGTAATAAGTGTATTAAGTGGTTCTGGCTTGAGATTAAAGTTAACCCTCTCTTGAATGTCCAGTTGCAAAACACTTGTAAAGTTGCTCTTTCTAAACCTGAGTGAATTAACACATTTATAAGGATTCCTAAAGGATATGGAAGCATTAAGTTAAGACTTGTATACTATGATAAGCTAATGGATCTAAATAATAAGTTAAGATAAGGGAACTATATACAAACTATGCCTAACCTCAATGCAGCCAAACCTATTATATGCTAACTAGACCCAACTTCATCCCGTAACCAAATATGTTGATAATCAGACTTAAAGCAAACTGTAATCTTACTAAACACGCCTGTTTATCTTTGTAATCCCAACTTACTTCTCCCTTAATGATGACTATGCGAGTTGCCAGTGAACTTCTTAATGCATCATTGTCACATTAGAAACAAAGATGATTCCGTGTTAAAGGAGTTGTGCAGAGTTCACAGGAAGCTCTCAAAATAAGCAGGTGTCCCATGCCCTTTTCATCTCCCAGTGTTTTAACTAATAGAATATTCATTGTCCTGAAGCCAAAGCCCTTAAATGATGGACCTAGGAAAACAATTCATTTAAAGATTTTTAAAGAAAGCAGAATGAATTAATTAAAGAAATCAGACTTTTAGTTAAAGTTGCAGTTAATTATAGTAAATTCAGTTTGCAGTTTTTGAATTTGATTAGCTCAGTGCATGGTTGGCTGTATAGATGAAATATTTTTATGGGTGCATTGTGCTATAGTATATATTTTAGGTGAAAGGAATGGCCTAGCAGTGTTAGCAAGCTTTAGGGCAAGGATTTATAATCACTATTGGTGTGTTTTTTATATATGAATAAGGATTTGCCATGCATAGGAAGTGTCTAGGCTTCATATATATAATGGTAATTATGAATATGTGTGAAAAGTCTGATGATATGCACATGCATATTTGGCTCCATGCTTAATGTAGTTTTTCTTCTTTTGATTAAGGTAAACGGTATCTGGAACCATCAGAGGACTGTAGCTTTTAAAGTTCTTCTCCCAGACAGTTCTTTTCTGGCCACTGAAACCTGACCCCAATTTTGACGATATTTTTAGAACATATAACTTAGTGATATTAAGATTAAAGGAAAAAAAGGATTTCCAGTATATTTGGTACTGTGTATATCCCTTTATTGTGTTTGTAGCTTTGCATTTTTTGGTGATATCCATTACATGTACAAATTTGTAATTGAGAGCACAAGGTTTATACTTAGATACTATAATTTATTGCACATTTTATTTCCATGTATCAGGCCTTCTAAGCTGCCCTTCTTATTTTTTCTCTCACAAAGCCTAAAATTTGCTTGTCTGTACTTTTCTTTGTAAAAAAAAAAAAAAAAAAAGAAACACACAATAAGAGATTATTTGAAAATGCAATGAGTAGAACTTCGTAAAGTGTCTGACTCTTTACACTTTCATTGATCCCCTTCTAAAAGGATAACTTCTGTTACTTACTGTCACCTTTCCTGTCTAAATTCTTTGAACAAATGACATTATACAAAATTCTTTTATTGCTAACAGCTACACACAAATATTAGAGCACTTTCTATACATTTTTATCCCAAGGTCCACAGAGTCTTACAGTGTTTATTATCTGTTAGGTATAATCTGATAAAATGTATGAAAACCTGTTATAATCTACATGCCTCGTAAGATAAAACAGGATTTCATGTTATGGTGGGGAGCAGGCACTGTATTTCTAGATAGAGATTCATACTGTTTTTCAAATATTTCAGATTTGTATGCTGAATTATGTAACACTTTATTTCAGACCACGATGTTAATAAGCTTCATTGGAAGCAGATGTATTGATTCTATTTCCTCTCCCCTGCGAACAGCAATATCTCACTTGAATGTTACTTTCTCTTCCCAGAATTTGTTGCTCTGTGCCACCCAGTCACTTTTCTTGTGTGACTCCTCTGGCGCACAGAAGGCATCCCCAACACTAGGAAGCGGACAGCCATTGCCTGCCGACCCCAAGATCAACCCTCCATCATTCACCTTCATCCAGGCCTGGCAGTTCTTGGCTTTGGCCGTTTCTCTCTTCGTGCCTAAAAATAATAAACTTCTGTGGTACCTCAAACTTCATCTTCAAAGGAATGCTGATACGAAGTAAGCCTTTAGAGTGTAAAGCCTTTATTTCTTGGTGAGATTTATTTGGATGTAACCTCTGAAGTTCATTTCATAGTATAAATATTGATATCAGTGTATGATCAGTTTAGGTAACTGTATTAATTATTTTAAATGTCAGTTTTATATATATAAAGTTTTGATTACTTTGTTTGGTTGGGCGTTGCATACCAAAGTGTTAAGTACACAGATATCATTATTTTGTGATTAGTTTTGTAGAAATTAACTCTCAGGCACTAAATAAAGTTTACTAAATGACTTTTGGTTTGCCTGCAGGTCTGAAGTTGGCAAATATGCAGCTTACTGTCAACGAGCTTTAGAAAGAACCCTAGAGAATGGGGGTCGTGAAGCAAAGCCATCTAGAATGGAGGTCCTGTCTATCCTTCTCAAGAACCCTTATCACCACTCTCTACCCCATGCCATACCCGTCCACTTTATCAACGGAACTTACCAGGTATGGAGGAAGGGACTTTGTTTTCCTGTTCTTTTTGGTGAGAGATAGGAAAGGTCCCAGAAACAGATTGATTGATGTCAAGGTTATCTCTAATGGATTGATATTTTTTTATTCAAAACTGTAAGAAAAAAAAAAAAAAAAATGCAGTAAAACATTTTGCTAATTTAATTTCACTTTGTGTGAAATACCAGAATGCAAAGACCAGAAGACAACACTGTCATGTAACATGTACCCATGAAAAAAAGGAAGGAACAAAGACTGTAATAGAAACCTGGAAAGAAATGATAATGGTGAAATTAGATTACTTTTGTCATCTTGTAACCTGGTTAACAATCATATGTAATTACACCAATTTCTGTATATCATCCTTTAAGGTTAATATTTTTCATATTTAAGTTTGAATAAGCTTTAACCTACAAGTGGAACTTCTTGATAATCCTCAGGTCATTGGATTTGATGGGTCCACCACCATTGATGAATTCTTGATATCGCTGAACCAAGAGATTGGTTGTCGTGATGTCCACCAGTCTGGGTTTGCTTTATTCTCGGACGATCCCATTGAGAAAGACTTAGAGCACTGTCTCAATCATAATGCGAAGGTATGTATTGATAATACTTTGATATTTTTTAGAGAGTATTGTAGCCATATAGTAAAGTCCTTATGTTTTATTAGATATTATTTAGATACGTTTTCTACGTTTTGAATTCTAAAGTAAAAATGTGAGAAGAGGATTGGAACCTTCTCTGCTGCATGAGGTATAATGAATCTCTCCACAGGACTTTCTTTTTCCTTTCTTTCTAACTTTGTTATTTACTTTATTCCTATTTCAGCTCTGTGATGTTATTTCTAAATGGGAGACTGCGCTCAGAGAGAAGGGATCGGGCAAGTTTGAGAACACGAAAGTTATTCGCCTTCTCTACAAGTAAGGAGATCATTTTTGTTAGTAGTAGGGCAATTGATGAAATAAAACTTTTGTGATTGTTGTAAGTGTAAGTATATCATAAAAAACACAAAGAAAGATATTAAATAATAACTCTTGCTTACTTAGGTCTCGCTTGTACTGTCGTGCTGCTGGAAAGCATGAAACGGACCGAGAGAAACTGTTGCTTTGCTACCAAGTCAACCAGCAGATTCAGCAAGGCAAATTCCCCATCACCAGAGAACTTGCTTTAGAACTAGCAACCCTCATGGCCCAAGTATGTATTTTTTGCTGGAGTGATTAAATGTAATTTTATATAAATCAACTATTTTTCCATTATGTAAAACTATTTGGTGCTTATGGTAGGAATCCAGTAAATATTTGTGGTCAGGATAATCTTGATATGAATATGGGAAGTTTTCTGTTGGATCTGTGAGGTAAGATACTTAAGAAAAAGTATTGAGGTAAGATACTTAAGAAAAAGTATTTTTAAAGATACTGTACCACTGCATTTTACAGATCTTTGGATAGGATTTTTATTTTTCACTTTATTTCATATTCATCTAAATCCATTCTTCTTAAAGTATCTATAGATACTTGAGAAAATAACAGATAGTGAATTAGAGCATGTCTTCAGCTTTTTTTCTGTCTTTCTCTTTTATAAAGTCACTGTCTTATATTGTCTAATCTAAGTAAGGTTGAGTGTTAGGGAAAAAATTATGATTCATTAGGCAGAGGCTGTTATTGATTAAATATTCCTATAACAGATTGACATGGGTGAAGTTAACAGCGAAAGAACAAGAGGGTCAGGCTCATCAGGTCCTTCCTCAGCACACATCCAGCAGGCATTCAGCAAGTTTTATCCGGCAAGATACCGAGAAGACCTGAATGAGGAAGAAACAAAGTAAGTATGCTGTTGTCAGTGATATGGATTTAGTGGTTGCATGTGTGAAGGAGAATTGCATTTGTTATTCTGTGTTGCCTAGAGGTATTAGATATTTTTTCACCCAGAAATACAATCTTTTTTGTGTATTTTCAGGAATGTGCTTGATAGCTTGCAAGAAAAATGGATTGGGTTGCGAGGAAGAACACAAGGTGACTGCGTCCGCATATACTTGACATGCACCCGGAAGTGGCCGTATTTTGGAGCCACTCTGTTCCCCGCAGCTACACCTTCCCCAGAGGGACCTCCAACTCCTGTGTGGGTGGCTGTCAGCGAAGATGCCATTACCCTTTTGGACCAGAGCAGTATGGCATCCATCGTCAGGTATAGAAAGATGTGATCAATATTTTTTGTACCAGACTTTCTTTTATGGTTATTTCAGGTTTAATTTTATTTTGTTTCATTTCTTTCACTTGAAGATAGATAAGGAAGTGCTCCATTTCACCAGATTTGATTTTTGATTGTCATTCAGAGACAGAGACCCATAGAAGATAAACTAATTTTTTCTCTTTGTTTCTTTATGTGTTACAACATTGTCAACTGATTTACCTTAGAAAATTGTCTTTGACATTTATTCCCTTTTTCTCTTCCATACTTTTTAATCTTAAGTAAATTGGATGTTTTAATTCATAGTCATTGTTTGCCTTTTTAGAAATCCTTTGGATGAGGTAAACTCATGTTATTAAACATATAAATAACTTTTTGCATCCGGTCTAAAAAGATATATATTCTGTATGAGGAATGTGCACCAGTTTCATAAACTATATTTTATTTTAATGTAGGTTTCTTGTCACAAGATGGTTTAACTAACAGCTTAATAAACTACCAGATATCTGTCCCTAAAAGCTGCATGAAATGTGAAGAGAAATTTTACCTTTACAGTACACACTTCCACACAGGTATACTCTTTTTTAACAAACTGACACAGATAATTGGGTCTCCAGGTATGGGTATAGTTCTGTGGTGACATTTGGTGGCTGTCAAGAGGACTTCATGCTGGTAGTCCACACACCAGAGGAGGACGGCTCTCACCATCCCCCTGGAACGCACAAACTACTCTTGTGCATGAATAAACCAAAGGTAATGAGAAGCTTCTGCACTCTTAATCTGGTTTGTGCTGGTATGTGCTTGTGTGCAATGCAGAGACAGGTTATGTAATACCACGAAATGATGTTTAATTGTATCCTTATTGATTAACCAAAGATTTGTGAAAGGTAAGAGTTTTGATATGTTATTTAGGTGTATTTTAAGTGTTTATAGATAGTTCAGGACTGTAGCATGAGATGAAAATGATATATAAAGATAATGTGATGGGTGAATGTTCTGTTCTATTAAAGAAAACTACTTTCAGTATTTCTTAACCCTGACATAGGTATATTGTCATTCTTTAGCCAGCAGGGATGGCTTAAACAAAGCACGATTTCTATATGTAAATGGTATACAGAGGTTTTATGTATGGACCTCTTTATAAACTGGTGATATAAAAATCTTCCCTTTTTTCTTCCACTACTCTTCCTTTTTTTCTTATTAAAGAAATTCATAAATCACAGCATTTGAAAACCAAAGCAAATCACAGTTACTCCTGGAAATGCTTGATAAGCTGTTGTCATCTTTCTTTGTACAACATTTACTAAGATACACCTTTTTTTAAACAAACAAAGGTTATTTACTGTACAGTATTATTTCAGGTATCAATTTCTTTGGATTTTTTTTCTCATACATTATTTCATGTTTACAATTGCAGTCTTTTGGTAGTTTAGTTCATATTATTATTTTATTATTGATGTTTGAATTTTTATTAGTTATGTGATTTCCTAGTGAAATGTTTAAAAGTAAAGACACTCAAAGAAAGAATGAAAATTACCAACATATATGTCAGGGATATTTCTCGTGGAATTATTACATTGCACAAATATATATTCCTTTCTTTTCATGAGTGTATAAAGGAACTGATTACTATATGAGCAGTTATAAACTTCTTTTGATTTTTATTTCTCTTTTTATTTGAATTCACAGATCTTAGAATTGACTCTACTTATTGCTGACTACATGAATGCTCTTGGTCGGCCAGTGCCAGGAACTCCCCAGACGGGAACGCTGACACGTCACGGTTCAAGAAGGTCGGCTCGTTCTCACATGACTTCAGTCCCGGGACAACCTGACTTACTAAAAATGACAACTGAAGTAGATAGCAAACTTCAACGCTTAGATGCCAAAAGGAGGGCACAAGTAGACTCCTCTGTTGTCTGACCCGCAGTGCATGCTAGGTCATCCTGAGTAAGGTTTATGCTCGGCCCAACTGCTACGCTGTGATAGACGTGTCACTCTTACAGTTGTTCCCAGTTAAAGGAGGTTTTTCAATAATGTGTTTTCCTTTGCTTTGTTAAGGAAGCTATGTTTTATTGAAGAAATCTTTTTTTGAAAGGAATGGTACAGCAAGGCATCTCCAAGACACTGGAGAGGGTGTGAAGCAAACGGTTGTGTATGGCGCACAAAAAAAGTAAAATTATGAATTGGAGAGTCTGCTGTATGGCCGAGCATAGTTCATATAATGTGCTTTCTGTATATATATATTTTTTATTTTTTAGTACAGACAATATTTTAAATTAATGACCTCAACTGTAAAGAATGGATAACGAAGATGGGTGATCAGATTAAAAGAGAGAAGCATTTATCGGGGCACTTTATCGATGTTTATTCCAAGGTGATAAAACATCTAATCAAGTCCTATATTTAATCATGTGCCTTATGCTGCACTTTAAATCCATGAAAGTCATCATTTTTGAATAGGTTATGTATGGCTGAGATTATTTGAAGGCTTACAATGGCAGCTGTAAGTCCTTTTTTTTTAATATATGAAAAGGGATTAGTCAAAAGATGCTTTAAAGCCCTAGTCTGTGGTATATCTAGTCTACAGAAAGCAGAAAAAAATCAATAATTGGAAAGGTTCATGGAAATTTCTTAAAGTAAATTAAAGTTAATCATAGGTAGGTAAAAACTTCCTAAAAACTATGAGAGCAAGGTCTTGGCAAGGTAGTTTCCATAGGATATGAAGACAGATGGATTATGAAGATTCAGATATTTTATTGATAATTTGCCCAAATATGCCCCCTTTTACATTTACAATATTACATGGAAAAGGTAAATTCTAATTTATTTAGAAATCTTTTGTTAACGTATGAAGAGAATGAGTTTAGTATAACTGGACAATCTGCAGTCACACACTTGAACATTGAATGGTGATTATAAGGCAACGAAAAGTCCTCTTTTTTGTGTAAAGGATGGTAAGTGACGTTGCACATGTAAAAAAAATCTACATTCATGTTATTCATCTTATATTCTTTATGATCAGTGAAAAATTTGTGTATGTAGAGCTTGTCATGTACCATGTATTTTTCATTGTGCTATTGATCAAAGGTGCCATAACTGCTAGTCAGAATGTATAAACTGAGTCATGTAGAACACCAAATCTGATAAAAGTATGCCTTCCAGGATTTTATGATTAAGGACAAGTATGAAATTTCATGCTGTGTGTATATATAACTTGACTTATCAATATGTGGTAGCCACATATTTTAAACAAGCAAATGTCACATTGCACATTGTTAAACATGTCACAGTTACAAAGCTTGAACCGTAGTTGACACAAAACCCGTCACTCCTCGGCACTGGACCTTGCTAGTAGCAATGTTAAACATGTGTCCAGTTACTAAAAGCAGGTTGACTTAACCTGTAGTGGGACACACAAAACAAAAATGTCTAAAGTTAGTCTCATGACTCACGTAGCAATGGACTGACAACTTATCTTCTATACCTTTAGCTAGATTATGTAAATAGTGCTTTCCTTTTATATTTCCATTTTGTGAGAATTTTGTATGTAATCTGCATAACCCCTATGTGGTATGATAAGAGAGTTTTGGGAATGTTCCTGCTATGCCTTACACACATCTCCACAATGTATTAATGCTCACCTATATGTAAAGATATACTTGTGCTCATACAAACCCACCCCAGTTTTATGTTAATACAGTTGCTCTCTTGTCCTTTGAATTTTATAGGCCTTATCCCCCCAAATATATCTTTGCTGTTTCCACAAAGAAAATTGTATGAAAAGAGCTTTTCCATCCATACAACTAAACAGAAAAGTGTTTAATCTATACTGGCACTTATCTATATAAGTTCGAACTTTTGAAAACACAGTTTTTCATATCTATATATGTAATTATTCCCCAATGTGCACACACATACATGTATACATGCACACATACAAACATACATGCATATATACATACACTTAGATACTTACATACATATTTATATATATACACATACATACAGACATACATAAAAGCCCATAGATCTCAAATAGGATAAAATCATAACTGTATCTCAACGTATCGCGGCATTATTATGATCATAACACCACTCTTGGTCTGCGTTTTGTTCAGGGGGTTGAATGTAGAAGTGTTAGGTCAGTATATGAAAAGCAATTTCACTACCATTGCTAAAGTTTTGCATTTTATGGTGTTTCAATATTATTTTCATATATTTAGATTTTTTGAAAAGGAAGTGTTGAAAAGCATTGGACATAGCCCATAGGAATGGGAAAGCTGCATGTTTAGAGAAGTAACAGTTTTGTAACAGATCTAGAATAAAATGGAATTTAGATAAAGTGTGTACAATTGGTATGTTTTCATGCTCTTATACATTTGATCAGATTTCTAAAATCTTTTGTATAGACAAAAAAAAAGCAAAGAATTTGTAACATTGACACTCACGAACAGCTCAATATTGCAATTTTACCAATCCGAGGTTTCTTTTCCCTTTGTTTTTCTGTTCTTTGAATTACTCTTTTGTAAGAAAATTTGGTTTTATGTTGTTTGGCTTTAAATTGCTTTTTAAGTTTGTTTATATGCATTTTGTAATTACTCTGTAATATTCCTTTTCATGTTTGTTGCCCAGTTTTATTATTCATACTTTCTGTAATTCTTATATATGAAAACAAAATGTTCATCACTTGTGCTGGTATGCTAATGACTGAGTGCTATAAAAACAGTTGTCCTGATTATATGAAATATTATGTTTTGCTTTTTTGCTCAATAAACTCGTCATATACCAGCACATATCCAGAAATAAACGTCTTGTAAGCACAAATTAATAAAGCAGTCAGTCAGAGTACATGAAAGGAATCTAAATATGATTCTAAATCTGTTATTAAGAAGAAACTAGAAATGTATGATTACCTGCAAAGTCATCATCATGCATTCATGAATTGGAGATAATATTTATTTATTCATTCTCTCTCTATCAGTCTCTATCTCCCCCTCTCCCCCTCCCTCTCCCTCTCTATTTCCCTCTCTCCTCTTCTCTCTCTCTCTCTCTCCTCTCTCCTCTCTCCTCCTCTCTCTCTCTCTCTCTCTCTCTCTCCTCTCTCTCTCCTCTCTCTCTCTCTCTCTCTCTCTCTCTCTCTCTCTCTCTCTCTCTCTCTCTCTCTCTCTCTCTCTCTCTCTCAAATATATGCTGTCTGGATCTGGTATATAATTTTATTTTATTTGTATTTTTTTTATTTTTTGTTGTTGTTGCTATAGTTACATGTCACAGAGAGTTAAGTTGTTAAATTTAATTGATTTTTCATATACAAAAAGATGACTAGATAGATTTCATAATTTCTCTGAAGGAATAGATTTTGGGGAAATATGCATTTTGATTCTGCTGAGTATTAATGTTCTTATTTTCAGTGGGTATAAATGTACAATATTTTTTTTCTCTTTTTTTCTTAATATATTTTGTCAAGGGAAAAAAACTTTTAACATCACCTCACTTCATTTGCACAACTTCAGCCATTTAACTGTAGAAAAGAAAATCAGATACCATACTCTTGGAGGCTTCATTAAAAGTTACCTGGTAATATATACACTTGACGGCTACCTATTACGAAAATTTCTCCTATTTTAGTAACCCTTTAGTGTCTCTTCCTCCTCCTTAGTGAACTTTGTGTAATATGAGGGATACTTTTCTATTGGTTGGCAAAATATTGTATTACGATGACATTGCTAAATTATAACTCATTTACATAATGTCTAAATTCTCCAGTATCAAATTCTGAACTTAAAAAAACAAGTCCCCTATCTACTCTGTTCATACTACAAATTGAAAAAAATATATAACTTTTTTACTTTTTGTAAGTTTCTTTGTGAACTTTACTCAGACTACATGTATGAAGTTGCAAGAAATTATGAGTGTCTAGAATTAAAGGTACTTGAGTACCAAATTATAGTGTTCGACTTTATTTTACCACTGACTCATGTTAACAAATTATTGCTCTACTTAAATTTTTAACTCATCATTTTGTATGTAATCATAATTGATTTCTATGTAATTATTTGTCAAAGTGATGCTAGTAAAAGTGTGGGTGTTTTTATAAATGTAACAAATATGTAATTAACAGTAGGATTTAGGAAAATAAAAGAGTTCATTGATTGATTAACTTTCATTTCTTCCCTCTACATGTGTGACACAATGTCATAGGAACTGTGCTTTAAATCATTCATATATATATATATATTATATATGTATATATTTATTTACTTCTTTTACTTTTAGTTGAAGATTTACCAGAAGGTGAATTTGCTCAAATATTTATAATTAACATGTGCAGCGGTATAGTTGTTTTTCTATAATAATAATGTTCAGTCCATCAGTTTTTCAAGTACTTTTCGTTTTAGGAATTTTCTATAACAATAAACTTTATTTTGGGGAGTTATCAAATCATTTTGATACTTTGGAAACTTTTAAAAACAAAAGATAACTGAAAAGGCAAATTTAAGGCCAGTAAAATAAGAATGACATTTATCCTCCCATTCCTAAATTTCAATACTGCCATATCATATTCTTACGAAATGACACCGAGTAGTTTAGTACCTTAAAGAAAATAACAATCTTATCAAATTAGTTTGTTACAAAATCCATAGTCCACTATATTATTACATTTTATAATTATTTACCACTCCACATTTAAGAATAAGTACTGGAGTCAAAAATAAGAAGAAAAAAAACATACACAAATACCATTATTAATTAATAATACATATTTACATATGCACAAATATTTACATAATGAACTATTTTGTGGATAGTGATTTCTTCTGCCACATAAACATATACATTTCAATTTACATACACACACTCGCAGTGTATGTACGTGTAAATGCATGAATGGGGATATAGTGTATGTAAATGAATACATACTTATAAAAAGTATGATGGGCATTCTTCCCCATACATAAATATAATGAGAAAATGATACATAAAAAGTAATAACAATTATAATAAGAATAAGAATAATAACAATAATAATGATAAAGACAAAACCATAAAACAACAATAGTAAAACAAATAATTATTATCACCATAATTATCATTAGCATAATCAAAATTGTAATAATCATTACCACAACTACTGTTAATATTGTTATTATCATTATTACTTTTATCAATACCAGCATCATCATTATTATTATTTATTGACTGATTCATTAAGAATAATTATATGAAGATGAATGATACTAACAATAAAAATAAGCTAACTGCCTGGTATACCATGATGGAGCTGCCTTCTCTTTGGCGTCTGAGTGTGTGTCGTGACAAGGGCTGGAGGATCATCAAGACTAGTCTGAGTTTGCGTGTGAGTGAAAGACAATTCTGGGAAGAGTTCATTATGGCTGTGATCTGGGGTCTGTGTGTGTATGGTTGAGCGCATAAACTGCTCAATATCTGAAAAATCTTCATATGTCTGAGTTTCACTTGTGCACCACAGGCTATCACTATCATGCCCTTGACATGCTCCAGGCACCTGACATGACCCTGGGCCTTGACAAGCAGTATCTCCACTCAAAATCAAAAGACTGTTTGGATCCGTCTGAGTTTCTGTGGTGGTTAAGATTATTTCATCCGAGTCATCAGGGGCACCAGCATTTCCACTTAGAAGCACATCATGGTCAGTCTGAGTTTCTATGCTGGATGACCGAATGTGCCCTAAAGATGGAGCTCTCGGACTTGTTATACTGGTTGTATCGCCAACAACTCCAAGTAAATCTTCATCGGCATCAATAAGCAACTGAGTAGTAGCAAAGGGATCCAGATGCTCATTTGTCTGTGTAGCAGTGATAGAGGTCATAGAAGGTGGTGGGATTCCTGGTTCATCATCCCCACAAGCCCTATCAAATAGGGATATGGTTAGATTACTGAGGTGGGAGTGTGTTAGTCCGGGGCCACGAGGACTTGTCTGCGTACCTGATGTGCTTTGCTGAGTTGTGATGAATTCTGGCAAGTCCACCTGCAGTGCTAAACTTCCCAAAGAACTTTCATCTTCATCATTGCAAACATCAGAACCCACCTCAAGGAAAGTGGTGTCATTATCACTATGACCATTTCCTTTCCCTGTGCCAATTGTACTTGAGATGCTGGGTGGCAGCTGCAGCTGTGAGCTGTTATTTAGTCGCTTGCTGTCTCTGTGAGTGAGCCTTGTCTGAGTTTCTGCTGTTCTTTTTCTCTTGCTCTGATTCTGTAACATTGTAATATTGCCGTCCTCTATATGCCAGTCACTTGTA